TATATATATATATATATATATGATATGTATATATATATAGACTTGTTACATGAAGATGTTAAAATTGGTTTTTAAAGGTGATGTAAATAGTGATTTCCTTAATGAAAAATACATATTTTGTATTGTTCTAATGCAACAGAAAAGCCTTTTAATCTCTTTGGTTCCTGTATATTCCATGTATAAGTGTAAATATAATCGGACAGGTTTAAAAATTGTGCATGTATGTATACAGTTGCAAGTCTGGACAAATGTATAGAATAAACCTTTTATTTAAGTTGTGATTATCTGCTGCATGAAAAGTGCATGGGGGACCCTGTGCATCTGTGCATTTGGCAAAATTGTCTTAACAAGTCAGATCTGATGTTCATCCCAACATGACAGTATTCCATTTCTGGACATGACTTCTGTGGCTTAAGCTTTGTGAAAGAATGTGCTTTGAATCCAAGGGTCTTAATTTTTTTAATCTAATCAACCACTTTTCAACATAAAGTGTTCACACAAGTACTTTAATGTATTTTTAAATCCCACTGGCAACATGACATAATATACCAGGAGTATTCCTGTATTAGCAAATACTGGAATACAGGCTCATTACCATTCATGGTAAGAATTCTGAGGTTTACACAACCAGTTTTGATGCAATCTGTTCAGTAATATAATTTGTCATTTTTGTTAGAAATTTAATTTCATGTGTTGTCATGAAACTGTACATACTGCAGTGTGAATTTTTTTGTTTTTTAATCTTTTAGTGTTTACTTCCTGCAGTGAATTTGAATAAATGAGAAAAAAATGCATTGTCTCTGATTTGAAATGAGTGTTATTTTGTGGGCTTTCTCTTGTTTTTTGATTTTTCCATAAACATAAAAGTCCTAGTTTATGAAAATGGCAATAGTATTTTAAAGATGTTTTGCTCTTCTCAGGAAATAAAAGAGAAAAAAGTGGCTAGCATGTTGGTGCATTTAGAAATAGGATAATTAAAAGCATAGCCCAAAGGATAATTAGACTAGAGTTTCCATTCCATCACTTAGTGTGCAATTGAGTAATCTTGATATTATAACTGGAAAAGAATTTGTACAATGTTGAAAAAATTGATCATATATATAAATATATATATATATAATTTTATTAGAGAACTTGTTCAATTTTTAATGAATATTTAAACAAGAAAAAATTAATCATTTTCTAAAAATGAATGTATGTGTGCCTGAACACACATAGGCATGTGGAAATATGTACTACATATATATAGTTAACAAGCAGTTGAAATATACATAATAAGTAAGGGGATCCAACTTAGGGAATAAAAAGCCTGAATACCTCTGTGGTCTGATGACCTAGGAGTTTATATTTTTGTAGACATACTGATGGTAATTTAGGAGGAATTTTTCTAAAGATGAGTTCCACTTCCTAAAACAAAGGTCTGTAGTAATCCATGCAGGTTCTCTTAACAGAACCATGTCTAAAAAACATGCAAGTAGCCTTGGGGGATAGCTCACTTATAGAGCACTTACCTAGCATGCACTAAATTATGACCTGTTTGGCTACAGAAAATAGGTCTTAAATATTCATCATTAAGCCTACAATTTTTTGTTTGTTTGTTTGTTTATCTCAGAAAATTTAAGGATAAATACTACCTCACCTTGCAAGGATTGGTACCAGAAACTGTTTACATTTAGCAGTAATAACCCCAGTTCTCTAAGCAGTAGTTGGCTCAGTAATCACAAAATTTTCAAGATGTCATCCTCATAGGTAAGTTTAAGAACTCTGCTTTAAAAACTAAAGTTTATGTGCTTTTGAGTTGGTAGCAGAATAATTGTAAATGAAATTGAAATCCCAAAAATTCTAGTAAATGGTCTTTTTGCTTTTTTATTGACATAATGAACAAGACAATCAATCTATTGTCCCTTTTATGCTGTTACCAAATGTCATTGGCATGTGCGCCAAAATTAAAGGGCCTTTGCATGGAGCTACAACTGTTCATTTTTTTAAGCAGGCTCTACTAACTTTCTCAGACTGGGTTTAAACTTGTGATCCTTCTACCTTAGCCTCCCAGAATGCTGGGAGTACAGGTGTGTACCTCTTTGTTCAGGTGTTTTGCTCATTTTTGCTGATTGATTTCTGAAATCACATGTAGTAAAGGAGATGACCTAATATTTTACAAGTGTCAGAACATGTATTTTGGGAAAGGTACATGAACCTACAGACTCAAGCCACAGTATGGGTACATTGCCTGAGAGTATATTTTTCTTTAGCCAGTTAAAATTCAAGGATAACAGAGCTATGATTTTATAATTAGAAAACTATTTCTCTAAAGATTAAAACATTGCCTCTGATGGCCTTTGTAGGAACGCTTTCCATAAGCAAACTGAAGTTCTTGTAGAAGTTTAGCACCCCATGGCTTACTACATTTGTAGTGTGTTCTACCTTCCATTTTGTCTCTTACCTGGTCATATGAGTCTTATTATGTTTTTGTTTTATATTCACAGCAACACCTTTGAGTGTGCGGAGGTGTTTAAGTCAATCTTCGAATAATTAGAAGATGACTTTCCCCTTTGTAACTTTGTAAACACCAAAATTGTGCTGATAGCTCCAACTATTTTCTCAAGTTCTACACTGTTTTCCCCCTTCAGTTACTATACTTTGGTGGGAGGAGCATATAATGCATTAAAAAAAGCATTTAGAGTGCTGTGATTTAAATATCAGTAACAATAAGGCCCAGTCCAGTCATCAGAAGACTAAAGGGACCGGTGTTAGGAATGCTGTAGCAAACACTAATCAATAAGCTGTAGATGTCTACCTATGGCCTTTCTGTCCCTTTTTCCTAACAGTTCTATTTCTAATAAAAATTTTGCTGCTCAAGACCACGCCTTTGGATTTTCCATCTACTCTGATAACATGTCCAATTCCACGTCAGCATATTCAGTGCTTCTTTATTATTTGCTATTTTTTCTTTTCATTATCCTGAATTGAACCCAGGGTCTTGTACATGCTAGGGAAGTACTCTACCACTGAGCTACACCTCAGTATTTTTTAAGAGTTATGATGGTTTTTAGGACCATTTGCTCTTTTCTTGCTTTTCTAAAGGTAGTTAGCAACAATGTAGAAAATTTCTTCTCTTCCTCCCCACTCCAGAAACATACTTGTGTTGTTATCTCCTAAGTGGAGTCTAAAATGAAGACTTGCTAAAATCTACAGAGAATCTGACAGGCAAGTATAATAGTTTGGAACTTAATGGGCCCATAATTTGCCCTTATACACACTTTCAACGCCATAATCAAATCCATTAACATTTCTCCTTTCTTTGTTCTAAGCTAATAAAAACAATAATCTTTCCAACATGAAGAAGATGGTAGGAATCCTTCATATCCTTTAGGAATTGATTACAACAGAATTATTTGTGCCCTTACTACAAAGCCAGGCCAACTTGCCAAAGAGTAGACAGTACTAATCCACTCTAGAAATGGCTGTTTGAGAAAAACAGATATTCAAGCATAAATTCTGACCTACTTTACATAGTATTATGCTGGAAAATATATAACACAAACATTACAATCTCTAGAAATAAAAGATCTCTTGCTCTGAGAACTAGTAGTCCTGAGTCAGAAACAAAGTTAAGCCCTACTACTACTCCTTTTACACTAAGCAAGCCATTGAAACATGACCTCTGCTTTTCACAATCCAGTATCTTCCAGTCCTCTTCATAAATGCTAATTCCTTATCTCATAAAAGGTTCTTTTACAATAAGTCTGGGATCTGCCATTAACAACTCCCACTTCCTTCTATATACATCTTTTGCAATACTAACCATTTCTGTCTTCAAACAACTCCAACTTTATTCCACAATACTCCTGATTATCAAACTGTACTAAGTATCCATTGTTTTCTACCACTTTGGATCACCTTGCTAATCTGTTAATATCTGAATTTCACCTTATCTCAATCATGAATTCAGTATGCCATATATTCTTTTTCCTCAGTTTTTCCTCTTCCCAGATGTGGAAATCCATTTACTTCTAAAAACATCGGTGCTCAGCAGACACACTTACGGCAGCCATGATTGTGTGTTCACTGAAGATTTCCTTAATTTGTAGCTTCCAGCCCATCTCATGTCTTCACTGAGAACTTTGCCATGCCTCCTCTCTGTCACTGCTCCAGTATCAACTTGATCTGCCTTCCTACCATCTCTCCCCTTTGAATTTATAGCCACTCTTGCCAAAGTAAGAATTCCAAATTTCAAATCTGTCAAGCCCACCTAAAATTCTCCATTGACTTTATTACACACTGAAATATCTTTAAGGTCTAGGAGACTATTAGGATATGTAATGATTCTTGTGAAAAATGGTAGGAAGTGGTCAATGTACCTGAAATAGTAGAACTAGAAATCCGCTGTGTTGGCCAAAACAAAAACCAATAAGATTACTGGTGTCTAGTATGAATCCAAGTGATTAATTACATGTTCTCCAAGATCTTCTGGCCCTTCCTGCATTTTCACATTTTCAAATCACCCTCACACCTTCTAACATTCTTATTCCTAAACATGCAAATAAGAACCTTTGTTAACTTGTTCCTGAGCATAGCTGCCTTTTTGGCATTACTGCCTACAGTCACACAACATCCTCTCCTTTCTTTGCATTCCTGTCTCCATTCTTAACCTAACAAACTTCTATTCACCTTCAAAACAGAACAAATATCATCTTCTCTACGAAGTCTCCATAGCTCACATTGTAGACCAGAATGTGTTGTTCAACTCTCCAAAATGCCAGAATGCAAGAATGCCAATTTGGTGGAAGCCTTGTGAACCTCCTTTACTGCACTCATTAGAATGGTCGACTGTACGCT